CATAAACTATTAAACACATGCACGACCCGTGTGTTTAAAACGCAAACTAAAAAATCAAACTGCGCGTAAAACAATTTGTATTTTCGCATATTACACTACATGTACTGGATGGGTATTCAAAAAATTCCACTCAATTTTGATCACTACGGTCCGCCAATAAAACAATTGGAATTCCCGAGTTTGAACTCATTTTTGTGATCCGAAGTAAGTCACTGAAAACGGCGGAAAAATATAGATTGTGTGTGTGTAATATACGTATTATCGTGTAAAGGACGCAGAGAACGGCAATAATTGTCTAAAATTCTAGAAAAAATAATTGCAATTAACGGGTAGACGCGGGACGAGACGAAAAAATCGGCATCCGAGAATCGGGCCACAATGAACCGTTTTTAATAAGGTATACGGTAATTGGGTCGCTGGGATTTTAAATTTATAGCAGGTAGATCCGGTGATTGGGCTACTATATTTTAATAAAATTTAGATACGTCAAATGGAAAACCACTATTTTAAACCATATTGTTATTTTTTCCCCAGTTAAAAATGTACATTTCTTATGTCGGTTCATGTTTACGGCTATAATGATTTTAATAATGAATTTAAGACAATCTGGATCGCATTATTTAAAAAAAAAAAAAATTAATAATTATTCGACTAATTTTATATTTATAAACAATTGGATACATCTTCTGGATTCAAGTACATCAATTAAAATGAGTGATTTAACCAATTATTTTCTTTGTAAGCTATAGCTGAACCTAGTTGTTTAATTTTGTTATACCACGACTGACTTAAATGAAATCTACAATCTTTGATGATAGAATTGGGCCATATCAACAGGACAGCATTGAAAATAGCTTTTTTTTTTAAATTAATAACGATTACATTTGTTGGATTTAACATTGAATTATATGTATTACATTTGGTACAACCAAATAGCACGTTATACTTTAAAATGCGTTTCTTGTTTTTTATCGGGGAATAAACAAAATATTAGTGGAATATAATGATTGCTTTTTATAAATCCATGTAAGGTAAATAATTGTAAAAAAAAAAAAATTGTGCGTTATGAAAACGTCCCATCAACAAATACTGTTTTGTTTTTACAAAGAAAGCTTAAATTAGTTTCCAAGAAAATATAATTATATTTGCATTTATTATATCGTTCACCATTGACGATTTCAGTTTCTTCGTTAGTGTAAACACTAGCAGAATCATCTTTTTTGGAACATCTCAATCTTTTGGCAGTAAAATAATACTTAAAATTATCTAAAACTAACATTTTTCTTCTGTTTTTACTTACAATAAATTCCATAGTTTAGGTTTTAAACGACAAATACCTCGACAACGACTAATACAAAAACGTTAAAGCCGTACGCTGTAAGTATTTAACTCTATAATTATAGAATAACTTCGAGAAATGAAACTTCTGTCTTACGTTTTTAATCATATCTTTTATCTTAGTTTACGATACGAAACAGATTTAATATTACTATTATTTTAGAACAATATTAATTTTACAATTGTAGGGGGTGAATTGAATAAAAAGACAAAATGTTATAATTTAAGAAAAAGTTCCTTTTTGATATAACTTTGTCATGACGTCAAAATTCGAAGTTTCCTCTGAAAATATAAAATGTGAGTATAAAATTTGACCATCGCCGGAAACGGTAATCAAACTTTTTTTTTTTAAATTAGCGAAAACGAGCGATGGCAGAAGAGAGCATTTTAAAATTTTTGTGTTAACGGGTAAACCACATTTTATATTAGGCATGTATTTAAATATATTTTTGCGTTATACCTTCGATTCGGGTGATAAAATGTACAAACATATTATTTACGAAGCAGGTAGATAAAATGCGGCCCAATTCCCGAACGCCCGAAAAAATTACCTACTATAAACACTACAAGGCGCGTTATATTATGTTTTCCATTTTTTTTTTTTTCGTTCTTCTTCAAATGAACTGTACAGGAATTCTCAGTCACGTATTGTTAGACGCGGTAATTGTTTAAAAATGTAAACCGTCGAAACGAATGCAATTAGAGCAATTAGAGACGAATATGTGTTATTAAACGATTTTAAACGATTTTTTTAAAACTACCTAATGATACGCTTACTCGAATAATAATATTTCTCGATAAGCAATGACGGATTCTACGACATTAAAATTCAAGAAAAAAAACAAAAAAAAAAAAAACAAAACACATTTACTTTTAACTTATTCGTCGTTTTCCCCGAAGTCGTTAATCGATAATGGCACAACGGATTTCCCAATATATTTGAAATGTTAAAATATTTGAATATCGAACGTTTCATGTTTTTACGAATTTATAATTTATGTTCTCCGGAGGAGTAATATCGACCGTGCGGCATGCGGCTCCCCCGGTGTCTGTGACTGCAGACCATCGGTCGAATTTAAATAATAAAACAATACTGTAAACCGAACTTTTCTTAAAAAACATCCATGTTGTAATAATAAAAATATCAAAACGCGGGCGCGTGTAAAGAGGGAAAAACTCTTCTACATTTTGTTCGGGGGTGGGGGGTTTCCTTATATGGTCCGACCGATAAATTATACCTCATACTTGACGTTTATTTGAAGCTCGATATTTCGATACGACTCTGTATAATAATGTAATGTTTCCGGTCATTAATTATTCATATCGCCGATATGATGCCTATAAAAAAAATGTATTTATATTAACATAAATAATAACGCAGTCAGAGATAATACGTTATGAAATTCGATTGTCGTCGTAGAAAATGTTGATTTTTAATTTTTTTTTTTTTCTGCCGTGCCCAATTTAATTTACATGCCGTAAACAATCGTTATCGATTTATGTTCCGAATAATGCATTTAATCTACATCGGCTTGTGTATTACGATTATTATTTTTATACCAACGGTTTTTGTATTATTCCTCCTTATCCAGTATAAATAATGTGCACAACAACGTCTTAGCGGGCCGGTATTAACGTTCCGGTACAAACGTTACGACGGATGACACCGTGAAACCGAAAGAAAGTAACGATAATAATGTATGACAGTCATTAGCCGTTGTAATAATATTGTACGCGTTTTATTGGGGCTGTTAAAAAAATTCGATAAAGGCGCGAACGAAACGATCCCATAAAACGTTTACGCAACGAAATCGAACCAGAACATCCGGTACGATAACGTGAAGAATAATAAAACCGTAAAAAGAATATTATTATTATTATTATTGGTCTATAAATATTACAATTCATTAATCCGGTACATAAAAGACGATAGGTATAATAAAAACGACGCGATAAATTCGAACACCGTTTAGGTTCGTTAAAAACGTTTAGCTATGGTACTGCATAGAATACGTACACACGATAAGTGCAAGACTGGCCGGCGAGTCAACGGATAACATTAACTCGATTTAGGCAACGTTGACAGGGAAAAGAGTTCAAAAGTTAATTTGTCGTATAAATTAACGAAATCGAGAAAAAAATTGAGTAAATTTTCTTTTTTTAATTATTGTTAATATTGACCGACCCTAATGCGGAAAGGGGTGGAATGCGAAATGCAAAGGAGAAGAAAAAGAGACAATATAATTTATTGTTATGATAAAAAAAAAAAATGATTATTAACCGGGAGTATGTCATAGTTTTTAAAAATAAATATGACCAGTGTTAAATGGCATAAGGAATTATACAAGCATTATCAAATTAGATATACTTACCTATACTTATTTTAAATTTTGAACTATACACACATGTCATTTATCCATTCGTAAAGTGCATTATAATAATATATTTGTAAATTTAAAATTGTATTAGTTAAAAAATAAAAGATGTTATTTTTCGTTAAATTAATGTAAAAAAAAAAAAAAATAATAAAAAATAAACTGAGTGAAAAGTGAAGTTATCAATTAAAGTAAATGTCAAAAGTTGATGACAAGTTAAAATTAACATGACTTTTAGCTTGACTATTAACTTTGCAACTCGTTCCATACTAGCCTTGCATATAGGTTTTGTATAAAACAAAACACAAATACAATTAGAGTAAACAAAAGCCGTTTTTAAAAATACGAGTATTTGACATTATTAAAATATACGCCGCTCGTCGAATTTAGAACTTCTCAAATTGAAAATTGTTCACCATAAAGTCGAATGTGTTGCAACGGAAATGTCTTACAGTCGGTAATTAGATGGCATTTCGGGTAGTACCATACGTACTATAGATCAGTGCCGTAGCAAGAGGGGTGGGTTAATGAGATAACGTGCCCCCTCCACCGGAATCGTTTTTCTCTTAGTTCGTATAAATTCCTTATATTAATAAATGTTAATAAATGTTAATAAATATTTAAAAATGTATTTTTAGTGGTAATATTATAAGTATTATAAAGTATAGGGTATTCCACGAAATACCCATTGTAATGTATCTGGAGATAACAAAGATAATCGATAATTAAAGTATGTTTTTTATTTTTTATATTACGCGCAGTAATAAGGACTATAAACATTAATATTTAAATTGTTTCCGTTTTTGGTGAAAAACTTAAATAAATAATTTTTTATTTTATTATTTTCGAAACAATTTAAAGCTTGCTGTTTTAGTTTATTTTATTTTATTCTTCTGGACATTATGATGTTTCAATTTTTTATTTTCATTAAATTCGTGATTTTCAATAATTTTTCAAAGTTCAGAGAAAATAAGTACACAGTCAGTCAATTAATCATAATAATTATAGGCAATCGATTAGCGATTTACAGTTTGCTGCATGTTTAAAGGATAATTGTTTCTGAACTTTAAATAATTTTGAAAAATCACAAATTCAATGAAAATAAAAATTGTCAGTTTTTTTTTTTATCAAAACTTAAAAATTTAATTTAAGTATAAATATGTATAGCCTTTATCCTTGCGAGTAATGACGAAAAAAAAAAAAAACAAAAAACAAAACAAAACAGAATTTGATTATATTTATTTATATTTACTATTTCAGGAGATATATAGTAATGAGACAATCTGTATGTATCGTGTATGGCACGTTTCAGAATTATTATTTGTGACAGCCCTTAATCCACAGCAAAATCTCGTTCTGTTGCGAAATCGAGACGTGTCCCGGGCCGGTATTTTTGCGGGTAAAGTCGACGTGGGCGTCCACTATGGAGGGGGGTAGCGATAAGACATGCACACACTGGCTGTTCCGTATACGTGTAACGTGAAAAATGTAATTTTTATTTTTTTTCGAATGGATATAAGGTCTTGTAGATACTGTGTATACAATAATCATGCATAATTCATCGTTTCGCCAACACCTTCTGATGTATTTTCTTTGATGGACACCCCTCGATAATTATTGTGCACTGGTGTGTGCATCAGCGCGTCCGTATCCGTGAAATATTTCATGTCATTATAAATGTGCAAACGTCAACAAAATAAATTAAACAAATTATTACGCAGTTGTATTATCATTATTATTACGTCGCCGGACGAACCGGATAAAATTTCGCAGACACGCGATTAATGAAAACCAATAATTTAAAAGCCTTACAGCAGAGATATTATAATCGAAACGTTGTTTGAATTACCCGTGTACAACTGTTTTGACCTATACCGATACAAAATCGTTTGCGCGGGGAATAATATCGTCGTCGGTATATATATAAAAAAAAAGGAAGAAATAGAGATGGACATAATTCTCACGATGGGCGGCGGGCCACTGTTGTAGGTGATAAGTCGGTAAGGTAGGATATAGATGGAAATTCAATAAATATCTGTATGCAAAAATTAATCATTAAACAATTCTGAGCGGAGTTCGGTTATCCGTTTTAAAAGACTCTAATATTTACGATTTTCGTTAAAATTTGCAATTAAAATTCTTACAAAAAAAAAAAAAAAACATTAACATTAAACTCAACTCTTTCTTGTTGACCACTATAGGTACGATTTTTAAGGATTTTTATTGGATGCTACGATTTTATTCACGGTGTACATACCGATTACAAATTACGTGAACAACTCGCAAAATTAAACATTTTACGGCATCTAGAAAGGGCAAATACACAAGTTTTATGTCGATATTTAAAGTCTCTTCGAGAATTTTTAACTGAATTACAACTAAAATACAAAATTGAAAATAATAAAACCATTATTTTCCTTCCTTTTAACCGCTTTTTGGCAACTATTATGAAAACTACTTCCCGGTAATATTTAATACTACTGCATGATAGTCGAAAAACTATAGATAATTCGAACAGTTTGTGTTCCGAATATAGGCGGCTAATGACGAACGATTTGTATAATCAATTGTTTAATCGGCTTGTGCATCCCATAATTTAACCTAATCATTTTTTTAGTAATACAATTTTAAAATAATATTATAATACACACTTGTATTATGTATATTATGCATAATAATTAAAAACTGTAATACGTACATACATTTTAAAAACGCCAAGTGTAATGTTTTCCCTAAAACCTCGAAACTCGAAATCTTTAGTAAGTCGAAAACCTCGATAGGTCGAAAAACTTGCAGTTTCCTTGAATTTTGACTTATCGAGGTTTCGTTGTATTCATAGTATTTGTAACATTGATATGAATTGTGAAATGTTATAAAATTTAACTTGTGTATAATTTTTCTAGCTTGTCAAAATTCTTTTCTTGTTGTATCAGAGGAAATGACGACGTCGAAGATTCTTGGGAATTGAATCGTAAGTATACTCACATAAGACATTTATCTATCGTATCCGCTAATATACTAATCACTTGTAAATACGCAATTAAACCGAATCAAAAAATATTAAGTATAAAATTAATTTTAAATAGATCTTTGCGTAGGCGCCACGTACACATGTTAAACATTTTGAGAGATGCTAGACGTCTGTCATAAACATTTAATTTTTATTATTTAAATCAATAAGTATTTATTATTTTACAGTAAAATGACTTTTGAAATAAATTTGAACGTGAAAATCGTCGGTATATACAAAAAAAAAAAAAATCATAGTAAATTTTTATTGTCATTTATGATAATATTTTGTATATTATGTTGTTTGATATTTTACGTGGCTTGTTTTTTTTTGGGGGGGGGACACCCCATGGAATTGAGAAAACCCCGTGCTCATGGTTTCTTGACATTTTCAACATTCTGAATTCCTATATAATAATTCTATTTTTTTCTGATAAAAAAAAAAAAATTAATAAAATTTCGTCTGGCCCGTAAATCGAACCCTATATAGTCTCTTGGCAACGTATATTATGATGTTAACATGTAACTAGGTTCTGGTTCTTACGATTATTTTCGCTGGATTAGAACGGTATTTACGGGCCATTTGGGAAGTTGCCATACATGCATGGTTGATGGGTCGATGTGGCGCTCGGGGGCTTTGTCGCAAGACCCTACTGCTAGTATATTTTTATTAAATACTATTATTATTATAAATAATCACCAAAAACAAAGGACAAGTTATACGTATTATAAAAGTAAAAAAAAAAAAAAAATCTTATACTGAACGGGTGTGCCACTGTTATGGATGAGAATCGATTAAAAGGATAGAATAAAGTTATTTAATTTATATCTGATCGACTCTTATAGCGAATCTCAGTTAAACATGTTTTGGAATGCCGTTATGTTTATGATTTTCGTTTTGAACTTCAACAATTATAAAAAAATAATCCGCATTACGCTAAACTTTTTTTTTTTTTTTTACCACTAATTGGTAGTGCACGAAGTGCTACTAACGAACCTCATTTTAAGTATTCAAGAATTTTTGTTCGACTAAACAATTTTACCCACATAATACCAAATCAAAATCAAAAAAACTCGAACATGACTTTAAATAGCTAAAAAATCACAAGATTGTTTGAAAATCGATAAAACGATATATTTTGTAAAAATTGCAGGTCTCTACGATCGATTATTTTTAACCAAACTACAACAATAAATTAAATCGAAAATAATAATACAGTATGTACCCGTATTGTATATTTTGACTTATTACTTAGTACTTTTTAGACGCAGTAAAGTTTTCAAACAATTCTGGTAATTTTTGAGCCTTTTTTAGCAATTTAAAATCGCCGAGTTTTTCGGTTTTTATTTGGCTTTTATATGTAGATAAAATTGTTTTGGCCTGAAAGAATTTTTGATTATTTAACACGAGGTTCATAATAAAGTGTATTTAGTGGCAAACAAAAAATTAAATGAATGTAGTAGGTAGTTTTGTATAGGCGGTTTTAAGTTCAAATTTAAAAAAAAAGTCAATTATGACGTTATGACCAATTATGGCGTTTCAAAACATGTGTAACTGAACTTCTCTCAGAATCATTTTTATTAGACATGGATTACCGTTTAGTACAGGTATAAATTGCGTTATGTATTTCATCATCCTAACTTACTGCCTAAAACAATGGTACACCCGCAAACAATCTACGCATTATCAGCTATTTTTTTGTACTAAAATAATTCCGAAATTGTCTGATTTTTATTGGCAAGCTAATGAAAATGAGATTTATGTTAATTACGTCATAAAATTTGCTTAGTTTCAATAATCAATATAAGACTAAAGAAAATCAATTCACCAACTAGACAAAATCAAAAATATACTAGATAAACATAATTTTTTTTTACGATAATGTCTGCGTGTTTCAGAAATTGATTTTGAGGGTTCGAATTCTGAAACACCAAAACAAAGAACAACAAATGGACTGTCTGAAGAGCGCTACGACCCTCCAACGAGCTCCAAAACCGTGAATGTGAGTATATGGAATATTGATGTTTTTACCAGCGGTGAATCAAACGGGGTGTTTCGAATCGAGGGGAAGAAAAACACGGTACAAAATACTTGTACATTCGATGCATTTTTACAAGTTTTAACGGTGTGTTTTGCGGCTTACATAACAGCCGGCAATACATTTAAAAAATGGGTAGAAAAAAAACATGAACGGGGAATCATCAATGTGGGACACGGTCGGTTTGATAAAATAACAACTTTATCACGGAAACGGTAGTATCACCCAGAGACAAAGATTGCTGTTCTTATTAGAACACATTAACGGTAAACAAATAATAAAAAAAAACATTAAGAACGTCCGTATATCGGATAGTGGTTCGACCCTTTCGAATATGATACGAAATGCGCTAGGATTGAATTACATAGAGTTTTGTAAATCCGCGAAATGCGCGCCTATTGCGGAAATGTCGAAGAGGTTTTATGCCGAAACCTTATGGGAGTTGTAATTCCAGTAAATGATGTGACCCGATTAAATGCGTTTATTCCAGACCGGTATCCAAACGTTTTCCAAAACCATTATAATTTGTAGTGTCAATTATGCCTAGCTAAAGCACATTGAATAGAATTGATTATTTACTCAAACTAAACGTTATTATATCTAAGCGTATTGTAACTCTAACGTGTTAATTTATCTCTATCATAATGTATTTAAATATTATTATGAATATTGATAGTTTAATTTAGTTGCTTTGTATCGTATAAATATATTTTTGTTTGTTAAGGTGCGTATAGGTAGCAACATAAGATACGCTAGACGCCGCAGAGTCGTAACCGAATACGGCGTTTTCATTGATCGCGAGTTATAATTTTAACTCTCAAACCAGTGTTATCATTTTATTTTTATTTTTAATTTTTTTTTTTTTTAAATTATGCGTGCCAAATACATTATCACCGACACAAGATTACGAGTAGGAAACTAACGAAAAACATTTTATCAAAATATTAATTTTTAGAATACTATAAACTATACCTATTACAATTTAAACCGTTTTGCAATAACGACTCGACATATATTGCGACATTTTGAGTAACGTTCCAAATATTCAATACGTTTGTCTGTATTCAGTTAATGTGCCCAGAAATTTTCAACGAGAAGTCACGTACGTAGTATATAAGAGTCATGATGCATAGTCGTAGAATTTTCGCCTGTTATGCCTAAATCAATAGTGGGAATTTAAAATCCAATTTATAATAAGTCAACCTTTTTTCGTTGTAACGTGATTGAAACATTTAATTGTACGAGATTAATTTAATTGTAATTTACTTGTATGATACAGTTACTAAATATGTAATAATGGTTACTGTATTTTTAAGCCGATGGGGGGAGTTGAACCTTAACATGACCCCAGTTAAATGTAATTAATCTTTTTTATCAAAATGTTTCCCCTTCGCCTTGTAGCGTTTGGGGCTTACGAATTTTCTAAATTTCCGTGTTATTTCCAATAGAAAAGAACATTTATATTGTACACTTATTATTATGAACATAATAATAAACATTATTTTCATAATTTGTATTTATTTTACAATTATATTCTTTGTAATTTCGCGGAATCGATACGAACATAAAATAACCGATTAAAAAGGTTGCGGTTCTTTTAAATTGAGATAGTGGAAATTGGAATATGGATTCCAATATAATGTTTGGTTGCTGAATTTTCTTTGAGTTCCAATTCTAGAACCGGTACACCACGTTTTAAAAATTCAATTTAATAATAATAATATCAAAAAACCGTTGAACCTTATGCTGAAAGATCTTTTCACTACGAAAATGGGGGGGGGGGGAACAATCGCCATCGTCATAACACATCGTAAAAACATGTACCTAATGATGTATGCAGAAACAATTTTACATAAAAACCGAAAAAGGAAAAAAAAAACACGCTTATAAAACGAGTATGCTTTATTTTACGTATTAAGAGTAATAATTATATCTATACACGTTACCTATAGAAACTTAGGTAGGTTTGTTGTTACGAATTTAATTATTTTATACACTTTAATATTTCTAGGTTATAATTATTATTTACTGCCGAAAGAATTGCAAAACAATTACTTTCACATGTATACATGAAAAGCCGTTGAATTCATTTAAGAAAATTAGCATTGGGTCTAGATTGGGTATACATCGTATACAAAATTTTTATACTTTTATTAATTTACAACCATTAATACACTCAAATAAGTTCTTACAAGTAAACAGAGAAACGGCATTTAGAGTTTATTACTCTCACCCGTTAATGCAATTTTAATTTATCAATTTTACTAACGTAGCCACGTTTTTTATTAGACATTTTATAAAATGATAAAAGCAATTTTAACCTCTCTTTTCTCATAATTCGCCAAAATGTAACTGATAATTGAAATTTTAATGCAAAATGTATGTATAATAACTATAATTTATTATTATAACTTCAATAACCTAATCAATAATTATTTTATTTATAAGTTATTTTTATTACTCTATTAATTCTTAATTAATTATCTTAAATAGGTTATAACCGACTAATCGATTAAATTTGGCCATAATAGTTTAAAAATTGAGTTCAATGAATTTAATTATTTTTAAACAAGTTGACCGCTAAAGGGGTTTTCAATGTGTTACTTAAATTCACCATGAAATCTTATTATAATTCTCAGTCAATTACTAGAAGTTGGTTCGTGAAGTTTCAAATAATATGTCTAATTCTAAAGCTAACAACACAAGTTTAGTTCTGTTGAACGAAAATTTGATATGATGTGGATCAGGGAGAGAGAGAGAGAGAGAGAAAACAAATAGTGCGCTGAAATTATATTAAGTGCCTTCTTGTTTAGAAATTAATATTCAAATATGCAGACACATATTGTTTGTCTTCTCCACTGAGGTAACATTGTAGAGGGCACCTTTGATGATTTTGCATTCTTGATATGGTTAATGAAAGTGTACAAATGCAATAAATATTTAACGTTTGAGTGAGCATGACACCCGTATGTACTGTCTCTGTCCCACAAACGACTTAGCAAATTTGCGTTCAGCCAGAACAACTTTGTGGTATAACAAGTACCTAGTTTTAATATTACAGCGAATTCACCTATTTTAAAATTAAATATAATGTTGACAATGTTAGATTATCCGTGCAACGTAGGAACTTTTTTTCATGATACTTTAATTTTTAAATTAAATTAAATTAAATTAAAATTAAAATAATTGTGATATTTTACATAGCTACTTAACTCATACTTAACTTTCTAATGACCTTATATAAATATATGTTGTATTATAATGCTGATCCAACAAATAACAATGCCTTACATTTTCAATACTCGACGGGTACATTAATATTATTAATTGTATAAGTTATTGTATGATAAATTTGTTTTCAGTGAGAGAAAATTTAAATTATTTGGTATAGTTACTTGATACACTTAGTGTAGCCTTTTTTAATTATAATGATTATTTATTGATTATTATAAAAGGGGGTTCCATTTTACATTTTCGAATTACTTACAGAGCAATTTACAAAAAAGCGAGTATACAGTTGTATATACAAAAATTAGTTAATTACATACTTGATAGCAATACCTAACAAAATATTTAGTTTGAAGTTTGAGCATCATTTTACGGTGTTTCATTTAAACAAATTAAAAAAATTAAAAATAACTTTGTATAAAAACATTTAGTTTATTTTTTAGTCAGGTATCAAAAATTAATTAAAATAGATAAAAAGATAATTAAGATTAACTAAAATAATAATAACAAAAAGTAACCCATCGTTAAAAAAAAAAAATAAAAAAATAAACCAATTTTCGTTCTAATGATATATTATCACAAACGCCGTGCTACCTCCTTTAAGGGCTAAACTTTAAGATAAGACGTACGCAGCTATTTACTTCTAGTTTTTAATTGTAAGTGTCGCGATGTTTCATCAAGATCGAAATTAAACTATAAATTTGTACAGCAAACAGAGAGTGGTAAATAGGCATGCGGGCAGGACAGACAAGACTAGTTGCAAACTCTGCAAACAAAATTGGAAAAGAAACTATTATAATATACTGTTATAAATATCGATATTGTTTTTGAAATATTGTTATAGTGTCTAAAATTTCAACATCGACCCTTTTTGCGTTCAGTAATCGATGCCATATATCAATTCTGCGTTGTAAAAATAAACCCCGTATTTTTGGCGTTGTAAATTAGGTACTTATTTTACGTACTATCCGTTACTCCGATAGGCACATCTACCGACGGAGCATAAAAAAATATCGTATACTCGTGTAATGCTACTCTTTCGGTATTACCGGTGATATATTATTAAACATTTGGAAAGACTATATTCCCTCACTGTTACTTTCCGCGGTTGCCCCTCATGTATGATTCATATTTACCTCCATGCACAGATCAAAACGATTCGAATATATATCTACACTTTCGGTTCAAAAGTATATGTATGTAAGTTTGCCGGTGTGTCAAAGTGAAATAAAATTAAGAAGTAGCGACGAATCGGCATTCCGGAAAATTTTTGAACCCTACTTGTTACGATATCGAATTCGTTTGAAAAAGTATCGCCAATCGGATTCGTACACCTAATACTTTCGATGCCCGTGGGATTTCGGAATACTATACTAGGTATATATTATAGATTCATTGGAAATGATCACAGCCGCACCGTTAAAAATAAAATATATTTTTATATTTTAAAAACAGCAAGGGCTAAGACGTCAACGTGACATTTATTGAACATGATGGAAACCTCGCGTCGGAAAATCATATAATATTAAAACGAGTACAAATATTAAAAGAACACTGATCTAGTTGTTTATCTAGGGATTTAAAAACCTATCCGTAGGTCGTAGGGTTAGAAATGAATTTACAAAAAAAGTTACGGGAAGTGTTTTAATTATGTATATAAAAAAAAACTCGTTATATTATTCCATTAAATTTAGATGCATCGCTAACATCCCAACACTATAAAATTATACTAACGAATGTACAACAAAATTGAATCCGTTTTCATTAAAAGTGTCGAAAAAATGTATAGTATTCCTACATTCTGTGCTCAATTTGAAGTAAATATACTTCAAATTAAACATTTTACTTTTAGGTACGTGTTCTATTTAATTTTTTTTGTGTCTTTTGTTAATAACTTTTCAGTCAGAAACCTTGCTCGGAATATTAACTTCTAAGCAGGTTTTTAGTATCAAAATTTGTCTAGTTGGTACATTAAAATGTCGTTGTAAAATGTTTGATCTATATTAAAAAGAGGATTGTTTTTTGATCTCTTTAATTTTAGTAATAAATGGGAAAAACTGGCAATTGTATGTATATTTTTTATTGATTTCTGTGTTACCCTTGAAACAAAGTAAAATATGAGACTAATAATACTCTGCTTAGAATCGTTTATAATGTTACATGGTTTGTTATTGCATACAGAGATAAACTAGATAATAACCTATAATCTATAGATTAATAGATTAGATACTAAGATTAGATTATTCTATAACAGTTACATACCTATCAGCAGTATTAGATTTTTTATTTAAAAATACTCATATTTTAGTTACTTTTGGTAATAATATAATATGTAACATTACTAAAAACCTCTTAAAAATGCCAAAAAACCATTAAAATAAGAACTTAAAAAATATTTTAGAATGCAAAAACGGTAAAGGGGTTTATAATAAGCCCCCCTTTAATGGCTTTAAATTATAAAACAAAATTGTATAACACTAAAAAATAGTATTTAATAAATTACAAGTGGTTTGAAGAGAAACTTTTAAACCCTTTTACTATTTTTGCTTTTTAAAATATTTTTTAAGTGGTTTTTTTCAGGTCTTTTAAATATTTTTAAACACTTTTTTTTATGGACTTTAAGTGTATATAAATTCGTGCCCTAATTGTTATTATTATTAAAATAATGATAAGAATAATAGTTTTTAATATTTCATTGTCAACTAAATCAACTCTCTTGACTGTGGGTTCTATGTCAAAATACCTCCGGAAAAATATCTCATGACAAAATATCCCGAGAAATGTTAGTTCAACTTTAACCTTTATTATAAGAGCTTGTGATAAAAAGTTCAATAATTGCATTTTATCTCAATGTGTCTTATTATCTTAATCACGTGTAATGTTATTCTTTATTTTAATAATGGTATCGTGTGCTGTTTTATTCCTATTATATCGCGTATCGTGAGCTAACCATCTCAACTTAAATTTATTAATACTTTTTTTAAATTTTAAATTCAAAAATGCTAAAATTTCTCCAAAGTGACGAAAAAAATAAATTAGCGTTGCACAGTTTATAAAGTGAAAATTATTGACAAGATGTTACACAACCACAGACGACTTATCAGGTTTGTTGACTTACAATTTATTAATTTTAGGACACAGATTTTTAAATGCCCGTGTCTTAGTTTTGCTTGTTCATTAGCATACACGTTTGCATATTTTGAAGTAAATGTATATTATAAATGCATAACAATAATAGTATTTTTGTAATCATATTTCGACATGGAATATTTTTCCGGGTTTATTTTCTCGTACCACCGTAACTATTGCGTATTGGTAACTAAACGGATGAATGTACACAATGGGAATGCACTAAATTTATTTTGGGAAACCAAATAAAATTTGCCAAGTCAACAATTTAGTAGTTAACAAACAATTTTATTTAATAATTTAATATTTGAAAAATGTCACTTATTTAAATATTTATTTTCGTACCATATTAATGTATTGCTATTTTAATAATATTGGTACACTTTAATTTTGCATGTATAGATATTCAGTCGAGTTGGCGTTGATGTAATTACACTACCTTTGGTCAACAAACAACATTATGTCGTTTTTGCGGTTTGCTACTTAACAAACTTGTGTATTGCTAGATCCTTAGAAGACAATACTGCAGAATCCGTAGCTCAGTTTTTGTATGAAAAAATTTTATGTAAAAAACCATTGTCTGAAATACAAATAAGTTACAAAGGCAGACAGTTTTTTAACCTACTCAAAATTGAACTCAAATGTTGGACAGGCACTAAACCGTGCGTTACAACTGCATACGGTCTTCCAGAGAATGGAGTAGTTAAAAGTCTACACAGAACTTTAAAAAACACTTTGTTGCAGGTAATTATATTAGAAAATAAGTAAATTTCATTAACACAGCGTTGCAGGTTATTGGTTTTCGAAAAAAAAATATGACTAAATAAATAATTTTTAGCTCAATAAGAAAATTTAATTTCTCTTTTCATTGTGAAATAGTCTAAACTTTATTTTAAATTTCGTATGCCTATTGTTTAGCGTTTGTAATTTGAATAAGTATACATTTTTAATTTTAAAATGGTAATTCTCTCCCCCCTTTAAGCATAAACTTGAATAGAGAATATTTTGAATAATTTTGATATGCATAACATTAAACATAGCCTAAACCTAACCTTGACGACTAGTAATATTACGTTTTTAATTTATTTAGATTAAAATCAATAATTACCTTAAAAATATACGTATATTTATTGATTTAATTAAATGATTTTTTGGTTCATCAGGATGATTTTTTTAATTGGCCTGAAATATTAATGGACATACTTAAGGCATACACACACACAGTTATTGTTTCTGCCAAGTATAAAGAAATTTTTAAGATTAAATGCAGTAACGGCAAAGGTGATATTAAATTCGATGATAACTGGGATTTTGACGAAGAAATATTTAAAAATATACTAAACAATAGATTAAAAGGTAACACAATAATATAAAAAAAAGCTGTCCTAGGATAACGGGGACAGGTGCATCTACTTTTGTAGGTAAGAAGTTGAAAAGGTAGGATACAGAAAGGAATTTAATATTGTTAAATATTGATCCGATTTTTCTATTTTTTCTACGTTTATTTCGTTTTTTCACTTGAGCTGGGAAAACTCTTTGGAAAATCGGAAAACTACCTCCCTAAAGTAACTTGCCAGTCAAGTTTCCTTTCAGAAAAATCTCTGTAATTATAAATCGGACCGAAATTGTTGGTAAAAATATTGTCCGCAGAAAAAAATAATATTTTGCTAATATATTTATTTTTACTAAACATTTTGTTCCGATTATTAACTTTATGGGTGATGGTTCCTATACAAAATAGGTATCGTCTAGTAGTTACAATGAGTTAGTTTTAGATTCTGTGTGTGGATGTAGCGAAGAACGTAATTGTTTTACAAAGATGTTTACTTTTATTGTTTTATCCCGTGTACAAAAATTCTACCAGAAATCTTGCTCCGATATGTACGCGTAGCACGAGCACCATGTAGGAAAGTAAATATTGTTCGTATAGTACTTTTGAGAGATATTTTTTTTGATTTTCAAAGCGGTTTTCATAATATCTAGGATTCAAAAATCAGCATAAAACGTAAGAAAGCAGGAAATTTACGAAAATAATAATTTTATTATTATTTCAGTTTTATTTTTTATTGTAAATTAGTCAAAAATATCCGCAGAGACTTGAAATTGGGCAGAAAACTTATACTTGTTTTTTCTAGGTATGGCAAAATTTCCAAAATATTTGAGCTATTTTAAAGTTTTTTAGAAAAATTTTAAAACTTTTGTTAAAATTCAGTTAAAAATATTCGTATCAATTTTATAGATTAAAATTCTGAAAAAAATTATATTTAATCGAAAAATACTCCTGGATTTGTTGTCCAAACTTTTCTACCAGAAATCATGGTGTGATGTATCAAGTGTTTTTATTTTCTGAAATAAAATTTTATTTCCATGATTATTTAGAGGGGTCACTTTTAGATTTTTCAAGCGGTTTTCGTAATATTTGGGAAACACCGGAATAAAATGTTAAAAAAACGGAAAATTTACGAATTGTAGGTGTATTAGTAAAAAAATATTATGGTCTTTTTTTTCTGTGTACAATTTTTCCATCAGAAATTATGCTCCAATTTAAAATGAAAGCTCTTTTTTTGAAAGGAAATCTGACTGGGAAGGTACTTTAAAAGGGTCATTTTTCGATTTTCCCAAGAGTTTTCCCAGCAAATATAAAAAACCGGGATAAACGCAGAAAAAAACGGGAAATTCGGTAGAATATTAAACAAATATTATTAAAAAAAATACAAAATTCCCATTTAATTTTTTCTTAACATAATATGACATATTTAATGTTGTTAAAGCATCATTTTCTGAACTGCGCTCAGAATCGTTTTTTCGTAATCAATGGCTTGTCGTGGCTTACAGATGTACTTTAAATTACCTATAACAGTGTATGCACTCGTCTTTATTATCCTAGGTCGTATTTTTTATTTTCTATTTACTCTAAATATTGGGGGAAAATCGAGAAAACGTCCATTATATTCAATTGTTTGTTTTGTTTTTTAAATTCAATTACATTTCAAAGATAAATAATACTGTATAAGCTGGAAATTGAACAGCAATACAGCAATATAGCTTTTTCGAGCAATGGTACGATTTGTAAAACATTTTATCAATTTGTATACATTTAAAGTTTTTTTAGGACTTTGTTAGACTTTTATTTGGTTTTATGTGATAAAAAATTGTTTTCGCCTAGTATAAATGCCCAAAAATTCAACTTTTTAAAACAAATATTTTGTACTAGGTGCATATCAGATATTTATTATTATTTTTGCATGGGTTTAAATTTAAAATTTCGTCACACGTGTTCCATTTCAATTAAATACCTGATAGAAATACTCTAAAATTTCTGAAAAATTAGTTGGGGGTACGGATTCCCCGTGCGTTCACATTCCTCAATCCGAGCACGGCCCACAGACGGAAAACGGATGCAAAAAACATAGCTATTAATTAATTTGTTTAAATTTCTAAATAAATAATAATATTATAATTTAGATTTTTACATTTTGTTTGTGTTTAATAACTCATTAAATGAAAACAAATGTCATTTTCTGATGGGAGTCTATCGCCCGTGCGTTATGTTATATGTAAATTTTCAGCTTTTCCAAATTTAAAAACAAACACTCATGTACATGTATATTGTTGTTTAGCGTTTAAGAAGGAAAAACAATCTATAAACAACCTAAGCATAGACGTAGTTGGGTATAACCACACTCATTTGCAAAATTTGCGACCGTATGTAAAATGCAATTTTGAATCGGAAGCGTATTTCGATCCCGATGATAATAACGTCGTAAACCCAACAAAGCACCAAAAATTCATACCTGTAAACAAAAATTGGATGAAAACTCAAATGAAAGCTTTTAAAATTAATTTATCGGATAGTGATTTGGTTTGTATTGCACAAACGTGCTCGAAGCCATTAACAAAACCAAAGCGTATCATAGACGTTTTAGGCGACGGCAATTGCTGGTATCGATGTATTTCTCTGTGGGTAACAGGGTCAGAAAAATACCACGATGTTATTAGAGCGGAATTGTATCAGGTATTATAATATTTTATGCAATTTTAATAATATATCGAAATAACATTATTTTTGTGTCCTTGTTTTCAGTACGTGATGAACAACAAGGACGTGTTGGGTTTCGCGGGTAATGACTGGCATAAAAATAATGAGCAGATGAATAAGAATGGGACATGGGTGGTTGACGTTGAAGTCTTCGCAACGGCACTATTTTTGAAAACGAACATATACGTGTATACCAAATCGTGGTCTTGGCAGCTATTCGGAGCACAAGGCATGCACACAAAGGAAGTAGACCTGATTAATAAAAAAAGCATTTATATCATCAACTGTAATTCAGATCATTTCAAAGTTGTAATCGATGTAAATTAATAATAATACGTTTATTTTCACGAAATAGTGAAATATTGTTTTGTTTTGCTTTTATTTTTTAATTAAATTTAAAAAAAATATATTTTATGTTAATTGTAAAAATAATCGGGAAAAAAAAAACCCCGTATATTAATATTAATATGTATATTAATACATAATACGAGGTTTGGCTACTAAAAAACGAGACTACGCGCGCAGAGAGCGTTTCAAAAAGGTTAGGGGAAAACCGAATACAGCGCTGGTTAGCTGGAAGTGTCTATTATGCCGGTAAAAAATTGGGATTTTATTGGTGCATCGGTAGTTTTTCCGTAGCGTTTAGAAACGAACGTGTTTTTTTCTCTTGCCGAAAACGACGCGTGACGAAAAACACGAGCAACGGATAAACGTAATATTTTCTCGTTAAACTAAAAAAAAACTTCAACCGAGTGCTGTGAGTTGTTAAAAGAGGCCTATAGTGAGGACTTCCTATCTCGGGCGCGTGTTTTTGAGTGGCGTAAATTATTTTCCGAAGGTCGAGAGTGCACCGGAATCCAATTCAGTCGTAATCCAAATTCAAAAACCATGCCGATCGTTTTCTTCGACATCGACGGCATCGTGATGACCGAATGGGTTCCAGAGGGTCAAACTGTGAACCGGCATTACTATTTGACCGTTTTTGGCAACACTGCGCGAATGAGTTCGTAAGAAACGGTCGATATTGTGGAAAAACAAGTCGTGGATCTTGCACCGGGATAACGCACCTGCCCATAACGCGCTCGGTCTGTGAAGCGTTATTCGGCCGCTTAAGGCACTCCGGTACTCGAACACGCGTCTTATTCACCCGACTTGGCACCCTGCGACTTTTACTCGTTTCCGGAGGTAAAGTCTGCCTGATAAAAGGAATCCGGTTTGAGTCGATGTGTGAAGAGGTGAAACAAAAGTCGGCGGAACTCCCGAACGGTCTTACGAAAACAGACTTCCGGCACCGCCTCGAGCAATGGAAGAAACGAATGAAACGGTGTGCGAAGATGGGAGGAGTGTATATCGAAGGGGAACATTCGGTTGTGGAATAATTTTTAAAATAAAACCATTTTTCATAAGCAGGTCTCGTTGTTTATTAGCCAGACCTCGTATCTATCGTTCTTGCGTACGCGTTATTAGTACTAATTTTCGGCCGTGAAATACAACGGAGACAATGGCGTCGTGTTAACCGACACGCACCGATAATTGAATATTCGCAAACGCAATAAACGCCCGGAACGACGGGACGCTGTCGGTTTATCCGTAGAGAAATGTACGCGTCGAACCGAGTAGAGCGACGCAGTACACGGTAAGGACGCAACCGTTGGACGTTACCGATTACGGGCTCGATTCAAACGCGTAAAAAATATGAAATCGGTAATGTTTCGCAAAATCTAAAAGACCTCGGACACTCGATAACGGTGGCCCGCGGTAGTCGCGAAATATTTTTTTATAAATCTTGGCCGATCCGGACGGATTATTTTCAGAGCCGTACGTCGCGGTGATTGGTTCACTTGTACGCAAACTAAATCGAAAAAACGCACGTAACCGTTTGTGTTGCATTTTCGATTTACTTTCTTACGGTTTCGTTTAATTTTTGGGTTTTTTTTCGGCTGTAATTCGGTTATAAATACACGTGGATACTGGAAACCTGGTAATAACACTTATACTTTTGTTGGGCTAACCTAGACAAGGTAAAATGTCCAAACTCATCGGACGGATTTTTGTTTTTTGAATATGCGTTTTGAAATCAGATTTAAACGAAAATTATTTTTCAAAAAAAAATTACGGCACTACAAGAACCGTGCTCGGGGAATCGTCTTTCGTCAGCAATGGTTTATCGTTGCTTACAGACACAAATTAAATGACCTTATGTAATCCGGCTACCCGACATTCCGCCTACAACAGTGGCAGCATGCGTCCCCGGTACCAGCTCTTCGTTTCAGAACGGTTTTAATATTTTAAAATAATAATTTAAAATTAATATTTTAACAATTTTTTGATTTTTTTTAAAACGGTTTTCGTGTTTTACGAAACATTCGGGTTGTAGCGCATGGACAGTTCTTTCACGTGATCGACGTTATGTATAACCGATAAAAACAGAAATCGATTACTCTCGCTGATTAGCTTGGTCCAAGCCCAATTAAAATCTGTAATTAAACCGCTATTATCTCTGCATCGAAATATTTTGAACAATTTATATCGTTATATTGTACACGCGCATTTATGAACTCTACGCGTCCTCTCTACACTATTTGTTTCGAGATAAACGTGTGTATCGGTTCGTATTTTAATATATTAGTATTATAGCGCAGGAGATAACGCTTACTCCGGCATTGTTAAAAATGTTTTTTTTTTTTAGTCAACAAAAGAGATGAGACCAAACCGATCAATTAATATTAGAAAAGTCGAATGAATATGACAATGTACGTAATCCGTAGAACCGACACCGTCAAAACCAAATCCATTGTCTATCATTATTGTGTATACAGTATTTATTTTCATTTGTAAAATATAATAGAAACGTTGTATTGCCAACCGACACAAACTAATAATTGTATACTCGAAACGCAATAAACACTTCAGAAAAACAGAATACTGTCGGTTTTATCTTATCCGACCAATTAATTTTGATCTGTGATAGTTTGCCCTGGTTCGAATTACCGACCCGTATTTTTTTTTACTAGACACTCATATTATATAGTCTATATTTTTTATTTTTTTTTTTTAACTATTACAAAAACTTAAAAAACAAAATAAATATTCATACACAACGGTTTCGCTTTTACCGATGGTGCTAATCTCACGGTCAAACATATTATACGTTTATAAGGTACGATTACACGTTTTAAACGGCAATCGGAATAGAACGACGCGGCAAAAAACGGCAAACGTGTTTTACATAAAAAATAAAAATATTAGTGGCCATTTGCAGGCTTTTTTCGCGGTGGTCGGCTAATTATATTATTTTCAAATAGCAATAGTATTTATAATTAAATATGTAGAAAATTCCAAAAGCGCGCTTGTTCATGATCTTTTAAGCACTTATTGTTTGTGAAATAAACTTTACATTAGTTATACCATACGGTTTGCGATATATTTAAAATAATGTATTATATTATTTTTATTGTTATTGAATTTTATTAATATACTTGAAACTAATGTTTGTCATTTTTATGTAAAATGCATTTGACGTGTTTAACCTTGTCGTGTGTTACCCTTGTTGGTTTATACAGTGTCGTTTTTTCCTAGATTTGTCTTAAACGTAACATTTTACCAACCTGATTATTACCGTAGACCTCGTCGAAAAAAAAAAGATTTATCGTGGCCCGATTACCGGACGTCCCTTTTATTTCCCCTCCCAACCCCCCGTCTAAAGATTCATTATGTGAATTCGACGTTGATTTATACCGAAGAGTAAAACTCGTTTATTTAAATGGAAAAAGTTCGAAATATTGATATAGATAAATGCGAGAACAATATTTATCGCAATGAATTTTAATATTTCAGTACGCCGAAAAACGTCGAGACTGAAATATTAATATCGGCGGTATTTGTCGACGTCGTTCAACGCGATAGCGGAAAAAAAAAACACCGTTCCGATAAAATTATAAACTCGGGCCGATCCGCTAACCAATCAAGAGACGAATTTATAGTAGTACTCGGTATATTTCGTTTTAGGACGTGATACCGGCACGTGTCTCCGTCTTACAATTGTAAGGCAAAGGAAATTCGCGAGCACAGCGTTTGCTGGTTTGTTTTAATATTGAAGTGAACCGGCCGAAGAACATATAATTTTCCGCGCGAAGACGTTGGCCCTGTTGGGTCTATATTTGAATTTTTTAAAGTAATACGAACACGCGATGATGGAAAATCGATTAGGCCGTGCGTGCTCCGGCGTGCGTTTTAAAAATCGTGTAAAATACGTTGGAAACGAACGCTGGGACGAAATCGGTTTATCGATTAAACACGTGTTTTTTTTTTTTCGTTTTATCCGCAAACTATGAATCACGTGGTGAAACCAAATTCGATTGAAACGGCGACCCGGACGATCATTTCAACGTCCAAACGTTCGGAATTTTAAAACATTTGCTTTGTGCGTTTACGAACGAATATCGAATAATATATATTATTGACGAACCAGAGCACAAAAAAAAAAAAAAAAAAACACACACACACGTAGGTACGTACAAAAAAAATTGAAAACGGACGGCCGGATGACCGTTTTGAACTTATATTCACGTTATTATGCCGCCATAGGAGGTTACAATAAATGTAATAATTTATGATTTCCGGAGAGTGTTTGACGTTTTTAAAACGGACGAGAGGTTCGTGGGAACAAAGAAACAAGACCACCCCGACGGCGTCCCGTCCGACGATATTTATCGAAAACGTGTATAAGACCCTGTGCGACGCATTATCGTATTGTGTCCGTTATGACCCTCTTCTCGGAATCTCGCGGATTTCAAGATCCCCCCGGCTTTCAGGAAAATACGAACGCCGCATGTGTGGCCGTGTCGGCGACGTTCATGGTCAATAATATAACAGTGGGTCGTCCGAGAATCCCGAATCTTTTGTCGCGCCGTATATCACCGGCTCTAAAGTGACGAGAAAAAAATAAGCAATTTATGATTCCTGGAAAGAATTCGACGGTTTCAAAACGGACGAGAGGTGCGTCCGACGATATTTATCGAAAACGTGTGTAAGACCCTTTTGCGACGCATTATCGTATTGTGTCCATTGTGACCCACTTCTCGATATCTCTTGGATTTCAGAAAAATATGAACGCCACGTGTGCGGCCGTGTCGGCGACGTTCAAGGTTAACAATATAATGGTCGGTCGTCCGAAAATCCCGAATCTTTTGTCGCGCCGTATATCACCGACCCTAAAGTAACGAGAAATAAAGAACCGAAAAAAAAAATAAAAAAATATAGGTATCTTTTAGAATATGACAATAATTCCATTCGCGTCTTTTGAGTTTTACCGTTTTTTGACAAGC